TAAGCCACATGCTTTTCAGAATCCTGCAGAAATTATTGCTGTTGACCACAAACTGTATCTTTCCATACTAGTGCTTCAAACACCCTGACAGCTAAACTGTGAAAGAATAAAAGCACTAATGGATTTGTCTGACTATATTATTCCTTGTATTTTAACCTTTACTTGGTCTCCTTCACAGGTTCTGCTCAGTTACTTTCACTAGTGGCTTTCAGAGATACTGAGGGCTTATTTTACAGTTTATAATACACCTGTATAAGCAGAGCTCTAGTGAAGTATTAGAGGTCACTGAAAACTTATTGATCTAGGGAACACAGCCACAATAATTCAGAGAATATCAAAATATCCACTGCTATTCACTTTTCCTTAACTCAGAATGGAGCAGACATTCTATAAGAAGCAATTTCTTCCCCTAATGATCCATCACTTTGCATTAAAGAGTCAACACTTTTAAGAAATCAGAAGGAAACAGAAGGTTACAACTGTCTGAAGAAGACCCAACATTCCACCCCCAAAAATGCAATAGCAGACACTGGGGAAGTGATTGTTATATTAAGAACAAATTCTCATGTAATGATTTTAATTAATAAAATTAAAATCAAGTGATTATCTATTTGCATGCAGAAACAATGCCAAGATCTTTCTCGTAAGCTGTGGAGCTTTTTCTATTAATATTGTAATGAGGTTCATATTATACAATAGTATCAACAAGGCAGAAACAGCACTGCATAGATTACTAATTTAAGCAAAGTGCAGGTCTCTCAAGAAGACCTTGTTAACAATGACCTACCAAAAAAATGTAGAAAATTCACATTGAAAAGGGACATATTTATGAAGATCTTAATATGGAAATAAATTGAAAATAACCTTTAAAGTCACCTTAAGTGCATCTTGCTAGGACTAAGAGCATCATAGGTACACTGGGGTTTACAAACATACGGAAGAAGACTTCTCAGCAGAAACCCAAACACTGCATGTGCTAAGACACAGCTACTCCAACAGATCAGATGGACAGAGCCATGGGAGTCAACTGGACGCAAAAGAAAATGGAGAAGAATGGCAGAACCAAGTTTTAACCTCATTAGAAGTGCACAGGAAGGGGCAACCTTCCTATGGTTACCAAGCAAAAGAAACAGTACTGTCTGGAGGCTTCAGGCTGCAAAGAGCCACTCAAACACACACAGAGAGGCCCTATGACCCAGTGTATGGACCAGCCCTGGTAGGCATGGCTGTGTGTCCCACTCACAACTGCACCAATTTCACTCTGATCAGCACCTGTAACCTGGGTCGTGCAGGGATGAAGCAGTAAACAAGCTGACAACAATGCTATAATTGCAACAGACAGATTTTTGAAAGGTAGAAAAATATCTAATGGACATGCTTCCTTTGAAAATTTCCCCTAAGTAGGTGGAAGGTGGAAAGGGCTTTCTATACAGATATGACATGTGCTTCCCTAGCACTCTCCTAGCAGCTTATCAGTTTACCTTAGAAACATTTTTATTCCAGATTTTTTTCCTCAGTTCCTACTTTTCCCTGTGAACAGAACTTCTTTTGAGGAGGTTCTCCATACAACCTCAGCAGGAGATAGAATAATTTGCATGTCATATGTCCTGTTTGGCCTTTGCCTAACAAGCACCTTGTTAGGCATTTATTTCCCAAGCATTATAGCACCCAACACCAAAACAAAAAGGGGATTATTTTTATGTACACATTCTAAGGACTTCTCTAGAGAAAGAAGAACCAACTATTAGAATGGGTGGGCAGTAAATGATCCTTACCAGAAAGCAGCCACAATACAATCTTGTGTTTCAGATGAACCATTTACAGTAACATAACTTACATGCTGAAACCAGATTTGAATGGAAATGGTCCAAATTTACAGGACTTTCAGCAGAACAGACTAGGATAAACCTGCCCTCAGAAGGAGTACAGTCCTCACTCAGATTTGTCAGAGGTCACATTTGTGATTTGAAAATCTTTACATATCACTACTTTTGCATCTGAGAGGTATTTTGTTCCCTTCAATGCATACACTAATTGTCTCTCCTGTTAGCATTAAAAGAAGGTATGATTGGCACTGAAGTGTGACCAGACTTCTTGGATGGTTTTACTGTCTGGGAAGAAAAGCTCAGTAGGTTCATAAATCTAATATATACTTTTCATAATAAAACCTAGAGCAGCAATAATTGTAATAAAGTTTTACAAGATGTCCTGAGAGGAATAAAATGTTCATTATTCTCTGCACCACAGCTAAATAAAGCAAAATTAGTTTTTTCTTTAAAAGCCCACAAGGAATTAAAATTAACAGACTTTGTAAAGAATGCTAGCAAAAAGACTTTTGGCAGACCCTAACTATTGGTTGCTTTGATTTTAGTGACCTTGCTCATCGTATCTTTCTAAACAGCCATTTTAAACCAGAAAGTTTCAAATGCTCAGACAGTGTAAAGACTGCTTTGTGTGCAAGACTTATGAAGAGCAAACTTCCTGTATGTTGAGCTACTTTCTGTGAGTTGTTTTAGGGTACTTTTCCCATGTTAATCCTCATTCCCCATTACAAAAATCTGACCACTAAGCTCAGTACCCATGTGAATTCAGTGGCAGAGATGAAGTGCCACGATTTCAGGCTTCCAAATAGCCTACAGACATAAACCAAAGGTAGTCACAATTGCAAGGTGTCTGCAGTTGATGATTTCCACAAGCTGATAGCTCCCTTCGAGCCCTTCTGGTGCCTCTTTAAGCATTAACTTCGATTATGCCTTTGGAATATATTAAAAACTAACAGCAGGAAGAGACACAAAACCACCCAGCCTTATGCAATCACTGTTCACAGTGATCAAACAATCCTGGCAAGAAGCTGGTGCTCAGCAAGGCAGCTGGAATACACTAAATCTCCCCCACGTTAAATAAGGCACAGGGAACTCTTCCAACACTTAGCAGTAACATATTGCTATATACTTTATAAAGTGAAACAAAGCAACTGGAGTCAAACTTTCCAAAATATGGTAATGCAAAGAGAGGAATGCTTAGTCAATCAGAGTAAATCAAAGTATAAACATTCATACAGTGCTATACCAGTCACAGACACTTAATCTCTCTAATTCTTATAGTTTTCACTCTTCTGTCCTAGCTGCCAACCAATTCCTAGGTTATAGACCATCTAGAGAAGAAGCAAATAATTATCTGACAAGTATTATATCTGTCTCTCAAATACAAGTGTTTTGGGTGGCTGTTCTACCATAACAGTCTTATCTTACACTCACCAAAAGTTATAAAAGGCCTGAATTTGAAATAAGTATCAAGCTTTTTTATTATTTTACATCCATAATTAGTTTTAAAATATTCCTGTACTCATGAATGATCTGATGCAAATCTTAGTACTTTCAGCTTTTCTGCAAATGGCTGAACTGTAGCCTCAGGCAAATACTCAGATATCTAAAGCAGGGCTGCAAACATTTGCATACACAAACGAAAACCACAAAAATTCTCCCAAAAAGAGGGAAAAAAAGACTGTCTTGAAAATTCTCAGTAGGTTCATAAGACCCATCTTGCTCTGGTTTTCTTCTTCAGCCATTCTTTCACTGACTTTCCCCTTATCTTCTCTACAGGCAGGCCTAAGGGATGACTCTTGCTCCTCTTCACTTCTCCCTTTTCAGCCTGTCTTTTGGCAGCTTGTCTGCAAACAATTTTGCCTACTGCCTCTGCCCATAGCTCAAAAGAACACCTTTATTCCCAGACCCATCTTCTCCTGCCCACACTGAAATCTGAGCCTTTCTTATACCTTCTCACCTCAATTTCAGAGATAAGAGCATTTTTCTCCCTATGGAACCTCATTTCTCTACCCTTATGGAGTTGCCACTTGTTCTCACATCCTAGACTTCATATTTTGTTTGCTTCTCTTCCTAGATTTTTTCACCTAGGTGATTTCAAGACCACATATACACAACGTGATGAATGAAGTGCTGTGCTAATTCTGCTTTTCATTTCAGTAGCAGAAATCTGATCCATCTCTTGAGTCGAATTTATATGTTTTTCCATAGTAACAGGGCTAATTTTGTGAATCCAAGCATTCATAAGACAGCTTTTTTACCCTTTCCACACATCTGTGGAAAGGTTAAAAAATTACAGTGAAGATGTGCACTGTAACATATCCTCATCAGTGTTTTATTTTTTCCATCTGCACAGTACATCCTGCAGTAAGTAAGGAGTGAAAAATGACAAGTCCCCTTCTGCACAGTTTTACAGCTATAATGATGAAAGAAATGTTTGGAAGGACAAAAATAAAATTCTATTAAGTAATTTGGTATAGTAAGGAAAAAAAATAGTCATACTTTTGGGTCCAATATCCTTTCATCAGGTCTAAAAGTCTGAACAGACACTGCAGACCAGTGCTCTTTATTCGATGTTTTTTAATTTAGTGTTAGCCTTAAACCTGGTCAGAAGATAAAAACAATTGGATAAAGATTTGATTTAAGCCAAATTAGCCAAAAGATGATGATTTTTTCTATACAAAGCTCCAGGTTCCCAATTATCTGTCTTTCTGCTGACTAGAAACACTTCTATTACTATGGCACATGTCTTTTTGTGGTCATCCTATTCTTCAAGTATAATAAAAAAATCTCCTATTTCAGTGTTTCTTTTACAGAAGGTGTCCAGATATAGAAGCGAGGAAATAGTGGTTAAAATTGTGGTAGGGCTGCCTCTTCCCCTGAGTATACTTTCACCAGTTAAATGATGCTGGATTTAAATTATCCAACTGATTGGGAAAAACAGCCCCATATTTTTTGAGGTTACTGTAAGAAATATAGAGCATAATCCACTGATTACAGTGGATTACCACTTCTCTGCATCCTTAATTTGATTATGGTAATCATAATGCAGCTGTGTGATCATCTTTTCCATCAAAGAAGAGGGAAGTGCAGAATAGCAATCTACAGTTGAAAAAGAGAGACAAACTTTTGTTTTCTTTGAGTAAAACAATTAAAAAAGTAGGAATTACTTCTGACCTTTAGCCTGCGATCCTGGTCTCCACTGCACAGAGAATTTACAGACACTTTAAAGGTCTTCCATGCTGGATTTAAGTTATTCATCACAACCTGTAAGTGAAAAGAAGAAAGAGAACCCTTAACATTTCCACATCTCTCAGCAGAATGCTAACAAGAGCCACAATTCTCAATACAGTACATTCACCAGCAAGAGAAGAAAGCAGAGCTCAGCTGGAGTTTTCAGAACTACATCCAATGAGATATGAGCCCTTGAGCAACTGGCAGCTTCCAACACCCTTCCTCTGCAAAGCCCCCAAAAGGAGCAAGAGTGGGAAATGGACCCATACATACCCACAGATGATGCTACAGACATTGCTACAGCACTGCCATGCCTCAGTGGGAGATAACTGACAAGGGAAAGGGTGCAGAACTGAACTGGAAGCAATGGAAGACGCGCAGAACTGGGCAATGGAGGTGGACAACATCAATTTACAGGCACACTGTTTGCCTTGCTAGGAAAACTCTGTGGAAGCCATAACAGGTTTATAACCCCTAACATCTGCCCCAGCTCCACCCTATAAATCTCAATGCTGTTTTTTAAGACAGTGCCAGTCATTACCATGGAGCAGTAATGTCACTGGGTGATAAGAAACAAATGTAAAGCACCCAGATTACAATCCCTGAGAGGATGTGGGGAAGAAGCAACACAGTATTAATGGGAAAATATTATACAGTCTGTAGCCTGGTTTTGGCTAAATCTAGTATTTATATCTCCTGACCTTCCAACAGAGTATCTGACAGTTTAATTAGGTTTGGACCTTTGACTTCATCTTCCTTTACTGTAAGGTGCATAAATCAAGACCTGATATCCATTAGTTATTGACACTAGAGTGTAACACCAGGAATTGTTTTTAAGTGTGAGTGTTTGCACACCTACATTTAAAACCACTTCTCTTTGTGACATGGGAAACATAAACTATGCCTCCTGACAGCCCATCTGTGTCCCTGGAAAGTGAATTCAACTCTATTCCTTACCTCAGTCCTGTGAACAAGTTGTTGGGTTGCATCATCATTCACCCGAAAAATCTCCAGAAAAGGATCAGATTTGCTGAAAAAATCCTAAAATAAAATATAGGACAAGTTACTCTTGAGGCTTCTATTTCTTTGGGCTTTTTAGGCAAAATGCATTGGGTTCTTCCCTGACTGCTAATGAAAAGGAAGAGCCAGAGTAGTTTTAGTGAGACCTCTTGGTGTTTCTCAGCAATACTTCATTCTTGTCCTTGTCTCACAAGGATTCCTGTGGTACTGTTGTTGTTCTCAGTCTGACTATTTAATCATGGCATGCAAAACTGTAAAATGTCATTTTACAACCTCTTCCCTTCTTACACCCAGCCCAGTTTCCTGAGTATTAGCTCTGTCATCCACCTAGCTTGTTTATTTTTGTCTCCACACCTGTTTGATCTTTTGACACCAGTTTTTTAATGCATTGTACTTTGAAGCATATTCCACACTAGAGTTGAATTTCACACTTTTCACCTACCCTCTCAAAACAGAAGTTAATTGGCCAAGACATTGTGCTGCTACCAACTAACACAAGTCCTGTCATAATGGATTAGAGACGGTTAAAGAAGCAAGTCCTCTTCAGGATGTGGTAACATGACCCATGCTAAGATGACAAACAGAGCAGTGTAATGCAGGAAATAACTTGATATCTCTAGGCAAATCTGTGACAGACACCGAGGTTCACATTCACACACTGCAGAACACCTTCTCCTAGTCTTGTATTCAGCTAACAACCCTGAACTTTTTTACACAAACCTAAATTAAGTTGTTTTTTATAGGGCTGCTTCCCTGCGATCACAGGATCTTTTGTTTCAACATCTCATTTATTCTGGACATGCTGGCTGTGAGGGAGAAGAGTAACTGGCTGCTAACCCAGGAGGGAGAAACTTTCAAATTTCTAACTGTGCCATGTTGAAAGAGTAAGATTTAAAAGTCAATTTCCTATAGTTTCAAGTCCCTTCCTAATTTCCTTCTTCAAAAGAGCCACGTGATTAACTTTGTGCATGTGAACATTATTCGTCTTTATAGGACATATTCAAAACCACAGACCCCTACGTCAATTTGGGGAAGTGAGAAATTCTGTTCAGTATCCAAGTGTTTCTATGATAGTGTAAAAATTATTCTAATATATATAATTCTACTGATTTCTTCTCACCAAATGTCCACCATAACTATGTTTGATTAACTGCAAGGCCATTGGTTTGGGAACAACTTTGGATAAGATGCCAGCCAAAGTCTGGGCTTGGTAAAATTTATTCTTAGGGCATTTTTACAATTTCATATGTTCAAAACAAACAAAGAATTAATGGCTTTGAAAAGGGACACCTGAATTTGAATGTCTGAAGAAGAAAATGGAACACATGTCCCTATGGACCACAAAGCCTTGAGCAAGGCTCAAGGAACCTAATGTCTTGTCATCCCCTAAAAATGACATAATGCTGTGTTGAGAGTGCTGTTTAGTCACTGATCTCCTTCATTTTCTAGAGAAAACTTAGTGGCCCATTTAACAGCTGATGCAAAGCACGTGAAGATTTATTTGTCAAATCCTTTAATGGGGAGCATAGAACAACAAAGCTGTATGCTTGGCTATTTGTTCTAGCTACATGGTAAACAGGACATTTTATGTCAAACTCTGTAAAACCAGTGCAAAATTCATCTTTAAGTAACTCTAGAGTTTGCCTCAAGGCCCTGATGTAGATTTAATATCTGAATGCCACTCAAAATTTGAAACTTCTAGGTATTGGGGGTTTTGGTGATCAAATTCTGCCAGATTACCAGTGTATAGCAAAGAGAACAAGCAGAGAGAGAGGGTGCTGGTTTAATCATGATCATGCAAAAATGCAGAGTGCATAGGGTTAAAAAGGATTGAGCTGCCTCTTCTCACACATAAGCATTCTGATTGAAGCTGGGTAAAAAGCTGAATGTTCAGAGTTTCTTTACCAAACACAAATTTGATAAGTTATTTGAAAGAAAGTACCTCAAAATGATACATCCAAAGAATGTACGTACCCTGGTGTGCAAAAGAATTCAGAAAGGGAGCCAAGATTTCATTTAAGGCTCAAAATACAGTATTGTTCCTAGCTGAGTATCATAAAGGTACAACAGCACATCAGCACAAAGGAAATAATTTCTGGTTTTAACTACCAAGATAATACCACATGAAAGGAAAGATTTTAATGCTGGATGGTTGTTTATATTACTCCCCCTCCAATGCAAAAACAAGACCTCATTACTATCAGAATTGAGGTACGAACAAAAAAATCCTTCTATATTGGAAGTGCTTTGTAATAAGTAGAAATGATAAGCTGAAGAAACATTTGCTTTCACAATTAACTTTTTTTGGTTGTTATGCTGAATCTAATAGCTTTGCATTATCCCCCAAGAATATCTCTGAAAGAAGAATAGCTGCAATATATTGTGTTATTTTAATAATATTTAAATGATTAATGTAATACATTTGCTGGTGGTATAATGCACATTGTTCTTTCAGTATGTGTAGCAGTTATACAGTAATAACACAAGTACATGGCCTAGACTTAAAAAATTTAGATATATCTGTTTCTAAGCACCTAGTTTGACACATTTTTAGTAGATTAATTTTCAGAGCCCAACAATTTTTAAAATTCAGGATTGGGGATCAAGTCAAAGGTCCCTTAAAAAAGGGCTGAAGCAGCAAAAAGATTAAAATTTTGAATACTATCCAACAGGACATTTGATGAGGTTTTTTTTGGTAGTAGTTTAATAGCAGAGAACTATATAAAAAAGCAATATTAGCTCGTATTTTGCAGATATTTGCTGGATAATCTTTCCCAAATAACAGTAACTGCCTCTCTCAGAACAGGAGAAGCAGTTTGCCTGCCCCAGTGCTCATAATTTATTATAGCTATCATAAAAAATGTAGCTGCTTGTTATGGTAATTGTGACACAGCTATTAATGCAATAAAACCTTTCCAAAAGTTATTGTTTCACAGTGAAGTGTTCTCAGTGGATCTCTTGAAACAAAGATCTGCCATTTGAGCTGACAGGGCTTCAATAAAACATGAAAAAGCAGTTATACCTTCCAAATAAGCACTGTAATAAAAAATACAACCGTTATTTCTGCTAAAGTCAGTTAACTAAAGGAAACTTTCATATCCATAATTTTTCCTATAATTTTTCACTGAATGTTTCAGCCAGTCCAGTAAGAAAAAATTATTAGGCTTTGTTCTGTAGCTTCTCTAAAATTCTTGCAGTTTTACGTCAGGAGAGTAAAAAACATGCAACAAACATATCCTGCCTGTTAAATCTTATCAACAAATTTTCTTTAATTTTCCAAAAATGTGTCATTCAAGTATTTTTCCTTCATGTAGGAAATACATACAGAGGCTTCCTCTGTTTTTCAGGAGACTCCAAAGCCAGCTTCAACCCTCAGTTTGTTTCTCTGACGTTACATCTCTACTCAGGTGTTCACTTCTCTGAGTGGGGAGAGGCATGCAAAACCATGCTTAGGATTTTACAAAATCGGCTCTTCTCAATTCTTTATGTTTATTTCCCTTTTTGTGACATCAGAGCACTCATTCTTTTTCACCAATGGCCGAACTGTGAAATTTAAGTAATTAATAAAAATAATTACCAATAGTTCCTTGCATCTAATGATGTCAAAGTTCATTATAAGCTGTACATTTTTCTTATAGAGGAAGTAAATCAAGTTTCAGCCAGGTATTGAGCTACATCTTTAACTGGAGAGAATTGAAAGACTTCTTTCAGTGCAATAGATTTCCAGAGATTTTCATCAGTTGAAGACAGGACTTTGGATTCAGATAAGACATGATGAGTCACTGCTTGACTCGCACACTGCATCATCCAAGAATTCTTTATTAGACGAAGCCCACCTTGACTGGCCATTTAAAATGGCAAGAATGACAACACTGTTGCAATATTTCAGAGTGATCCTTCTCACCTTACCCCATAAAGTGTTTCAATCACTCTCTAAAACTGTTGCCCAGAAAACACTGACCCGGCTCAGAATTGCACTGTGGCAAGTATCCTTTTAATTTATACCAACAAGAACTAGAAGCAATCATAATATTTAAAGCAGGTTACATTTTGCATTTGTGGAAAGCAATAACTAAGTGGAGTCCTATTATGTTGTTTGTGTCCTTTCCTTTCCTTTCCCTAGATGTGACAGCAAGTAGAACAAAGAAAATTTGTACAAGTTTGGGAATTACCTCTAAAGATATCTGTCTAAAGAAAGGTTGTTAAATCTACATTTTGACACCTAAATAAATTATGCAACTCAAAACCACTCAGACTCCAGCAACTCTGAAAGAGGAAAGTAATTTATCTTTCAGATGAGAAGCAAATTCAGGTCCTGATCATTTATGATTGTTAATGATCCTGAGCACAGTAAAATTTTATAAATTTTATAAAGTTTATGTTAAAGTTATATGTCAGAACTATTCATCTTTCTGTGTACTTTCTGCTTGCCTGAGATTTTCTGGTAGTTTCAGCTGAAAATATTTTTCATAAGTTACAACCCGAGTTTGAAAACCTGATGAATATATATCCAAAAGTAGTCTCACTGATTTGATTTTAAGCTACTCTCATGTCAGATGTTTACAAGAACACACTTGGGGCATCACCATCCTAAACCTTTTTACAGTTCTGCCATATGTTTCTAATTAGAAGCACCTTCCTGTATAAGAAGGGACCATATACCTCAAAGCATTCTATGCCTGCTATTACACTGAAATGACAGGGAGTGGTACAAGCAGATATCAGGTTTTCTTGGGCTGTGAGTTGAGATCCTTATTATGAGTAAATTGCTAAACAATAACAGATATTTTCAGAAAGAGGTATTCCTTATAATGTTGAGTAGTGTTTGAGTCAGTGGAAAGTTTTTTACCTAGAGAGGGAAATAAGTTTTTAACAAATATGCAAGTCTTTTTCTCACATTCAAGCTACGTTTTGTTGAACAAAATGTGTATCATGACTGAGCTGTTATGAAGTTTTTTAGCTGCATTTTAGGAAACTTCAATGATAACATCATTGATTACTCACAGAAAGTTCACTTCTCTAAATACTTCTGATCTGTGGCATTTTACATAATTAAATTGTCTTGGTTGTAGTGTAATTAACTTGTCTTGATTTTAATTAGATTTTCTTGAGTTTTTTTTTTTTTTTTTTTAATTACTTGCAACCCGAGGAAAGCCTCATTGTGAACATCCATCTGAAAACCCTCATGTGTTTAATAACACAAGGTAAAAAAAATATCTGTCATGGAAGACCTCATCAAATTATATTTGCAGGCATTCTTATATCTTTCAGAAAGGTTAATATCAAGCAGCTTACCTTGTCATCCAATTTCCGTGCACTGAATGAAAGTTCAACGTAGTCATCGTTGCCAGACAATTCCTCAGCGATCACCTAAATGGAAAGCTACACTTGAGTTGTGCATGGTGTAATGGAAGGGGGGAACTATGCCATTTTTCAGTGTGTGAAGACTGCAGACCCCACTTAGGAAACTGAAGTGTGGAACAAGTTAATGTGTTTCTCTTTGCCGTCAGGAAGGACATCACCTTGGTCAGCCCACAAACCTGAATCAGTTTGTGTCATGCAACTATGCCTTGTCAATCACCTGTCAAAGGGCAGACACCCACATCCACCAGGGATCCTTTTCCTCTGACCAAGTGCCCCTCCTCAGAGTGGAAAACAGAGAATTCCACAATCTCACAGTATCCAAGGGGACAAAAATGCTCTACAAGGGTTGTACTACTCAGGCCTAAAGCCCAATTATTTTTATGCCACTTCAGCATCATTTGGCAAGATAAATGAAAAAAATAGTGAAGTCACCTGGCATTAGCTGCCATGAAGGACACATTTACAGCAGGAGAGCTCTCCTGAAATAGCTTTTCTGCAATAGCCACATTGGCAAAACAATTTACCGTGGATGGAGTCAGAAGCAAGTAATCCTAAAATAATATCATGTGATTCTTTCAGACGGTGTAGGCTATATCAGTAATGATGCCAGTCACTGTGCTGTGCAACGTTATAAAAAAACCAACCAAGCCAGCTTCCTAAGTAAGCCATTAAAATGCCTCATATAGGTGCTACGATGCCCAGTGTCTGGGAAGAATGATGAGCAGAACTCCATGATATCACAAGGCTAATTACTTTATCATACTATATTATACTATAACTATACTACAAAGAATACTTCTAACTCCTGAAAAACTCGTGATTGTCTGCAGACCAACAGTCCACACAGTTTGGACCTGATAGGCTAATTAACACAAACAATTCCACCAGAATCCAATCCAGCAATCACCTTGGTTAAGCAATCTCCAGAACACATTCCACATGAGCACAAACACAGGAGCAGCAAATGAGATGAGAAGTGTTTTGATCATTCTTTTTGCTACTTCTCTCTGTTTAGAGGTCATGTGAATACCACAGCCTCAGGGAGAGAAGGCACTAACCAAACCTGGCATATTTTGCTGGAAAACATTCTTTGAAACAAACCACATTATATTCTATTTGACAGCTTTAAAACTTTTTCCCCATTGTAAGTGCTTTCCCCATGGATTAAATCTCCCAAAAGAACCTATTTCCTGGGTGTTTCGTGTTCATGACCACACACGTGGCAGCCATGCCAGCTTCCCAGATAGGCTCTGGCTGTCTCCACCACTTGAATCCTTGAGGAGCTGCTGGGAAAACAAAAAATTGCCAAACTGGCTTGGCAGCAGCTACTGACTGCACGCCAAAACATCAACACCTCAGAGGTGCATATGGGCTGCCATAGGCATCTTGTGAATCTATGTCAGAAAGGACAGCAGCTGCCAGAGGCAAGAGACACAAAGGAAGGAGAGGTGGGAGGCCTGCAATGACACCCTAAAGAAGATCCAGGAAGAGGCATGGAGAAGGCCATGCTGTGGGGACAGAGCGGGAGATTCACTCTCTGAAGGAAGTGCTCCATGCTGGAGGAGGCACCTCTGTGTACACCCTCAGGTAAGACTCATTCTGGAGCAGAGATGTCCCTGTGTGTAAGTCCAGAGCAGAACTAAGAAAAAAACCTCAAAGAGCAGCAAAAACATCACTATTTTCTGATCCTGACCTGCGTCACACGCCACCTCACCAAAGGGACTGAGCACAACATGAAGTGAAGGCAACGGGAGTGAAGACTATGAAGGAGGCAGGAGAGGTGTCAGAAGTGGAGTACAGGAGAGGGGCAGGAAAAGTATTTTCCCTAGGAGGTGTTTTTTTTTTTTGTCCTATTTGTTTCTCAGTAGTTAAAAGTTTACTTTGATTGGCAATTCATTAAATTAAGTAAAATTCCCTGAGACTATTCTGGCTGTGACACCTCCCAGCAGGGAGATGTGATGTTTCTCCAAACAAAACACTCACATGTAGCCAGACAGGGGCACAAATGCTTAACTGGGCATTAAAGTACCATCACACAGGCACAGATGTGGTGTGTTACATCTTCTAGGCAAACATCAGCTTGCTGATGAAATTTGACCCATGGAGCCTGACACATTTCTCTTCCATGTAGTCTGATGGTTTACAAAATCTGGTTAAGCTGTGTGTGACCAACAGTGCTCTGGGATTTGCACACCAAATTTCACAAGTATTTTTAACTGAAGATAATGAACCTGCTCTTGTAAAGGTTTACAGACTTGCAGCTGGAGAAGCAGAACAATGTTCTGTTTGCTTTCCACAGCCATATTATAAAATTGTGTGGATGAGACATTACACAGTCAAAAGATGAATAAAATTCCAGCAAAACTTGCTAAGAGAGGAACTTCCAAAATACTATGAAAAACTCATAGCTCACTATACTGAATGAGTTAGGAAACTAGTATTCCTAACTTCCATGCTTGACAGACACCTGGTACGTCCCCAGATCCAGAAATATAATAATTAATCAATTTTTAATTATTCTGTTGAGACAAAAAACTTTTCACACAGTATTTCTTTGTCTGGGTTCAGTTTTCTCCCGTTCAAGTCAACTTGCTCTTTAGAACTGCTGGACAGAAGCCAAAGCATGTAAATAAGGTCCATATTTCATGGTTATCATCCAGTGTGAGGCCAGCAGGGACTATTAACTCATTTTCTCTCATCTTCTGTTTATCACAGTGATTTAATTTTTGCCAGAACACTCCCCTAACAAACCTAATAATTTTAGTTGTACTACAGCATTTGTGTTTTCACAAGACTAAACTACTTTGTGCTCCTCAAAGAAGAACAGAAGGGAGGTCCAGAACACCACAGGGATGGGTGAGATGAAGTATGCCCAGACCATGCCAGCAGGCAAACCATATGAAGTTATTTAGGGAACAAAACTCTCTCCTGGTTCTATTCAGCCAGATGAGTGGGGAACTCCTTTCCAACCCCAGACCAAAACCAAGTTTATTGTATGCATTTAAGCAAATCAATTCCCAGCCAAGCACAAAGGAAGACATCTAAGAAATCAAACTCCCTGCACTCTCAAGAAACTACCTCAGAATCTGCTGTCTCTTTTGTGGCTGAAGGCAGAAAAAAAATCCAAACAATCAAGCCAGAAGAAAACCATCTGGCAAATCACACATTAAGGAAAAAAGTCCTTCTCAGTCTCATGAGGCAACAGAGCACATACCCCCAAAGCAAAGTGCAGAAAAAATTGATCTCCCAAGCAAGCCAGCATAGAGAAAGATGAAAGAGAGGTAATGTTCAAGATAGACATAGGGCTATGACAATCCAGTCCTTAGTTGCATTACAATACATCTAAAACTAATCTCATTTTTTTTTTTTTTTTTTTTTTTTTTTTTTTTTTTTTTTAACTGAGAAACTGGAAAAAGCCCAAGGGAAAAGAAAGATGTGGTTCCTTTACATGTCAAAGCATGTATAAATTAATTTCTGAAGGTTCTAGTCATTCAGCTAAAAGTATTCAAACAGCAGAAGTTACTTGCTGTCATCCAAGTACCCTAAAAGTACAAGTATTAGGGTATACAATAGCAAGTATTGTATCTCTTTTACAAATCATACATTATTTGTTGCCATTTCCTTAAAACAAGCATTTGTCAGAAACAGTGCAAATCATCAAATCAACAATTTAAATGCATTTCTCAATCAAGTATAGTTCTGATGGCTTAGCAGGATGCTTTTAGAGAGAATTACTCACTTTAGATATTTCTAAATAACAGGAAAACAAAAGCATGTTTAAGACTGACTTACTGTTATAGATGACTTTCCTGCTGTGTTGCCATGTTTGAGTAAGGACTTGGAGAGCTTCCTCTGAGAAACAATCTGCATGAAAATAAAAACAAAGGGAAAAATAATTAGAATCTGTAGTAAATACATGGTTTATTGTGATTTCAGTTTTAGTTGCTTTCTTTTTGGTTTTTTTTTTTTTTTTTTTCCTTTTGTATCAAGGTACTTTCTCAATCCATGATCAGAGTTAACACAGTAAGACCACAACCAACAAGAAAGGTCCCCAGGAAACCTGCACAGGATTCAATGGAAGGACAAAAAAAGCATTTGGGGTCAAGCAGAATGGGGAGAACACAACTCACTGCATTGAACAGAACAATGAGGGACACATAGATTTTTCTCAAGTATTGCAGTGATGGTGACAGAGGACAGAAGTAAGGTTTAACTGGGCTAAAAAGACAGTAAGAAGGGAGCTGTAGACAGCAAATCTATCAGAGATACCCTTAAAACTCAACTCAGTAATTTTTATTGGAAACTGAAGTCCATTTAAAATGCAAAGAATTTATTTTACCTCAAAATATCAGCAACTCTAAATTCAGGGCAAAAGGAAGCAAGCTATCCCATATTTCAGTTCCAAAATTGTCTCCTTTGCTTACCAGACCTCCCCTAGAACTCAACATTATAAATGAACTTGGTCATTAACCATATTGTAAATATACTTCAAATAAATGGCATCAGAGGGACACTGACAAAAGATTTTATCTGCCATATCAATAACTAGCATCCTCTTACAATTTTGAAACACTTAAAACCAGACAAGTAAAAGTATTAGAAAAGGAAGAAACCTTACAATGATGGAGAACTGCTAAGCTACAGTGATGTTCCAGTCACTAGTAAAGCTAATGCTAAATCAATTTATTTATTTATTAAGCAGAAAACTTCAAAATGTAGACAGATGTAAAGGTAATTCAAAACACCTCTTATAAGTCACAGTATTATTTGTAATCTGACAAAACTGTAGTACAATTGTGCTGTGCAGATAATGAGCAAAAGATTGTGTGCTGAGAAAAACCTTAACTTCTTGAATGTGGCTTTTATCCTAGAAGTAGTCCTTTCCGCCTTCCCCCATCCAACAGTATATGGACAACTTCTTCCAGACAGCTGATCTAAATGTTCCACAAATAGACATCATTGGCAAATATGCCAAAATATTAGCTGCAAAAGAAAGGCAGCCACCAAGTGAAAAGGAGAGTTCCAGACCCTGCATGAGAGTCCTGGGAATCACACAAACTCCAGCAATAAACCACAACATTAGGTAATGGCCAGAGCTGAAATGCTCAGTAATGCAAAGTCACAGCCAGCCAAAAAACATGCTGTGAGACAGGAGTGAATAGGTTGCACATTTTAGCTTAACGTCAGTGGGGGGAAACATGTTTGTACAGCCCATCAACTTGCTGAATTGAAGAGAAAATCAAAAGCTGCACCTCAGATAATTCCCAGCTACAGTTGTAATAGAAGCAACAAGACAGAAGCAAGTTTTAAACAGGCTTTAAATGTGAGACAGGAGAACCACCAAATGACAGGACAGCACATCTGGAATCACTGTGACCAGCTTCTTGTTCCTATTGCAACTATACCTGACAGGGGTATATCTAATCAGTTCTTAAAGAACTTAAAGGGAAACACTCTCCTCTGGAAATTTATTATATTCACTATCCTTATGTAAACATACTTTCCTAACAGCTAATCTGATTTTCTGCAGTTTAAGTTTATTATTTCTATTCTCTGCAGTTTAAGTCCATTATTTCTATTGAATGCACCATGAATTGGTAAAACAAGTCTTTTTCCTTGTATTCCTGGGCAATCCTTGCATTTGAAGACTATTACAAACTCCCTACAGTCGTCTTCTTTACTACATAACTTGAGTTTGTCCTATCTTTCCTTCTTGACCAAATTTTCTAGCTCTCAAACCATTCTCTCTACTCTCTGATGATCCTTCATGGACTGGCTCATAAACACTCTTAGAATAATGCTCAAAATTGAGCATAATAGCTCTGGTCCTTCCCATGAGAAGCAAGAAGAGCTTCTCATTGCAAGGCTGATACACTCCAGAATTACATTTGCCTTATTTTAAGAACACCATGATACTGTTAACTAATGTTCATAATAGGACCATTTCAGATTGCCAGCTGCAGTTTTGCAGCTGGCTATTACTTAAATGAATAATTTAACACTCCTTTTTGGACTGCCTTCCATAATGTTGTCTGTTGTCAACATCTCACTCAATTTTCCAAACTAACTTTTGGATTTCAACTCTAGTGTTGGTCAGTGGCAACAACAGACAGGACTACAAGTAAGATGACAATATTACTAGCAGCTCTTTTTCTTCCTTAGAATCTTGGAAATACTGTTTGTGATGATCTTTTAAGTCATCCCTACATTTATCTTCTTGCCAGTAAATAGGTTCAAGTATAAATCATTGCACTCCTGTGAACTGTGAGGTGCAATTCAAAAAATCTTGTTTGAGATTCTCATATAGGAGGTAATACAGAAATATGACAGATTATTCTTAACATGGAATTAAACTATGGGATCTGTACCAGCCAGACAATGAATTATGGCAGCTGAGGAGCAGAGCCCATTTATCTCCATGGCCAAAGATGCTCAGGCAAATTTGTAAAATACATTAAGCTTTTCCACTGAAAGCTGTGAGTATTGTCCACCAGAAACCTTTTCAGACTTCTTACATATACATAGCCATGGTATGAGATAGAACTTGGGTGGGAACCTGTCCTAGAGTAGCCTCTTTAGAGACAGCAGGACTTCTCCCCCTGAGCTACCCAAACTTTTCCAGCTCCCTTTGCTGCTTTCCGAAGGGTCACAGCTTTCACGAGGCATTGCACAGCTCAGGAGCTCCTGTGCAGGTGGCAGATAGATGGCTCAAAGTTCCAGAAAGGATAATTTATTCTGACGTGCTCATTAGTAGGCTGCATTAATGACACTCGCTCTCTAAGACAGAAGCATCGTTCTGACACAGTAAGCACTCTGCGTATGTAAATATGTGTATTTGGGTGCAAGTGTTTACCAGTTGTTAATTAAGGGCCACTAAAACTAATCCTCCATCTGGCAACAATGTGCCAACGTTGTTGCCTCAAATTGTAATTGTAATTGCAATAACCATAAAGGAGTCTGTTTTCCATAGCAGTAATTTGACTCTTTTGTTCATGCATTACACAAAATGGGTCTCACTGGTTTAAAGAACCACTTCGAACCTGCCATCAATTGCCTACCATATTTTTGTTATTGTCCCAATGCAAATCTTCTTCTGAACATTATTATACAAAGCATTTGCTGACCTGATTTTCAGACAGCAAGTCCTAAACAATGATAACTTGAGGGACTAGCATGCATTAGTCTTAGTTCACAGTTACAGAGACAGCTGAGTTGGCAAAATGTCTTACAAGAAGGTAATTGACTACAGGTCTTTCATTTGTCAGGAGTCTTCGGCTTGACTCTGACTTCAAAACCTTGCAATTTAAAACTTCTGCTTCAGAGAAAAAAAAGGGTTTTTCCAAAACTGATGTGAAGAAGTGCAGAAAGTAAATGTCTCTCTTCTTTCCAGAACACAAATAACAGAACCCAGTTCAGCCCTAGAAAACCTCACTACATTTCAAGAATATGTATTTTCACAAACATTTTATTAGAAGCATGACCTACCAGTCAGCAAATGGATGTAGGAAACAGTCCTTGTTCACACTGTAATAGAGTTAATTTTCTTCTTAGTAGCTGGTACTTAATGCTGTGTTTCAGATTTAGCATGAGAATAATGTTGGTAACACACTGATGTTGTGGTTGTTACTAAGTAGTGCTTACTCCATATCAAGGACTTTTCAGTTTCCCGTGCTTTGCCAGAGAGGAAGTGCACAAAAAGTAAGGAGGGAAGACAGCCAGGATGGCTGACTGAACTAGCAAAAAAGATATTTCATACCATAGACTGCCATGCTCAGTATACAGACGGGGGAGAATTGGCTGCGAGCTGCTGATTGCTGCTAAGGGCTGGGCTGGGCATCTGTCAACAGGTAGTAAGTGATTGTACTATGCATCACTTCTTTCTCTTGGATTTTATTTTGTTCCTTCTCTCTCCTTTTCCCTATAGCTGTTGTTATAATAATAACAACTATTTTTTAAAATTATTAAACTGTTTTTATCTCAAGCCATCAAGTTAACCTTTACTTTCTGATTCTCCTCCACTGTAGCAGGCACAGGGCAAAGGAGGTGTAAGCAAGAAGCTGCATGGTGCTTTAGCTGCCAGCTGGGGTTCAACAACAACAATCCTTTTTATTGCTCATTGTGGGGAGGCTCATCCAAGGGTCACACCTCAGAGGTATAAAAGGTGAGACTTAGAGAAGTGAAGTCAACTTCATTTTCAGCTACATACAAACTATTACCCAGTTGTGGCCTAAGAGCACCACATGTCCAGTAAAAATGCCATACTAATATGTTTGCATGAGGTAGAAATAAGAATGTAAAAGCCACTGCTCTGTTTCTGAGAGGGAGTATATGCACATGAAGTTACTCCTATTTAACAGATATTCAATCATCTCAAGAGAACATAATCTCAGCTAGATTTCTGGTCTGAAGTGATAAGGGATGTCAGCCCTGTGGTAAGATGGGAGTGAGAAATTCCCTTGAAGATGATCTTTTCCTTATTACATACAAGCCCTTATAGGTTAAGAATAGATGCTCAATATTGCTGTAGAGAAATCTAGACTTACATCTCCATTTGATCTTATTTCCAATGTAAAACAGCTAAAAGAGGCTTTGCACCTTTTTTTTCTTCATTATTTTAAAAATATGAACAGATGCAAGACTCCAGATAAAAGCACCAAGGCGCTGACACCAGCTGTGTACCAAGCATTGCTCAGCAATCGCTCAGAGACAAGGACTCTGATGAAGGTTTCCTCTCTTTCCTCTCTCCTGTGCCTGAGTCGTGACTAATCAGCACTGTGTAAGATGAGCTGTGAAATATAATGACTTGTTTTACCTGGCTTGTTTAAGAAACTTCTAAAATGTCTTTCTCTAGGTGGTCCTTTTAA